TTTCCATTGTAACAAACTTGGACACTTTAAGGTATAATGTAAACTTTTGAAAAATAAGACACAAAGTGTGAACAACAACAAATTTGCGACTATGGTTTCTGAGGTCAATCTTCTCCAAGATGATGGAGGATGGGGGATTGACACTGGTGTAACTAATCATTTATGCAACGACAAAAGTTTCTTCAAGACTTTGGAAGCAGTTAATGATGGAACCGTGCTATACATGGGAAATTCCTCCACTACACAAGTGAAAGGAAAAAGCACCGTAGGACTTATGTTTACTTCTGGAAAAATACTTGTATTAAACAATGTCCATTATGTACCGAAAGTTAGAAAGAATCTTGTGTCAAGTGGTTTGTTGAATAAGTATCACTTCAAATTAGTACTTGAAGCAGATAAGTTCATCCTTACAAAAGGTAGACAATATGTGGAAAGTGGATATTTTTGTGAAAACATGTTCAAACTTGATATTAATAAGAATATTACTAGTTCTACTTATATTGATTCCTCATTTAATGTTAATGATAGTAAAGCAACTTTGTCTAATTTATGGCATAATAGATTAGGTCATGTTCATTATAGAAGAATGCATGATATGGCTAAATTAGAGTTAATACCCAACATTGATGTAAATAATGATATGTGCAAGGCACGCATGGTTACTAAAATCACAATAAGCTCATTTCCTAAGATAAAAAGAAACTCTAAATTACTTGCATTAATACATTTTGATGTTTGTGACATGCATAGTACTCTATCTATTAGTGAAAAGAAATACTTTGTAACATTTATAGATAACTTTTCTAGATATTGCTATGTGTACTTATTGCATACTAAAGATGAAGCAATGGAGAAATTTAGAATTTATAAAAATGAAATTGAACGGTATTGTAAATTGCTTATCAAATGTTTATGAAGTGATAGAGGAGGTGAATATTATGGTCCCAAGTATTTTAAGTCCACTAGTATTATTTATAAGATTACCGCTCCATACACACCAGAACAAAATAGTGTAGTGGAACGTAAAAATCGAGTTCTTACGGAAATGGTCAATGCTTTGCTTTCTAATTCAAGTTTGGGAAAAAGATTTTGGGGAAAAGCCTTATTAACAGCTTGCCATATGCTAAATAGAATCCCAAACAAATGGAGTAAAACTACTCTTTATATGCTATGGAAAGGAAGAAAGCTAAACCTTAATTATTCAAGAGTTTGGGGATGTCGAGCCCTAGTAAGAATTCCGAAACCAAAGAAAAGGAAATTAGGTGAAAGAGGAATTAAATGTATATTTATAGGATATGTTGAACACAATAAAGCATATCGTTTCATGTGATAAAGCCCAATGATTCATATTCCATTAATATAGTCATAGAATCAAGAGATATTATCTTTGATGAAATAAGGTTCAACTCAATTCGAAGACCCAAAGAATTGGTAACAAAGAGCAATAAACTTTCAAAAAATGGTAAGAAAACTATTGAGCTTTGAAAAAGTAAAAGAATTAAAAATGCAAAGACATATGGATCCGATTTCCTTATGTACTTAATAAAAGGTACAAGAGAAGAAATATGTGAATACTTACCTTACTACTTTAATATAGAAGCTGAAGGTGATCTTCAAACTTACGATGAGGTAATGAAGTCTCGAGATGCTTCATTTTGGAGAGAAGCAATACAAGATGAGATGAACTCAATAATGGGAAACAAAACGTGGAAATTGGTAAACCTTCTACCAAGTTCCAAGTCAATAGGCTGTAAGTGGATTTTCAAAAAGAAAATGAAAGTTGATGGAATCATAGAAAAGTTTAAAGCAAGGCTAGTGGCAAAAGGTTTTAAACAAAAAAAAGGTGTTGATTATTTTGATATATATGCATTGATAGCAAGAATAGCTATAATTAGAGTGTTTATAGCATTTGCATTTATACATAAGATAGTTATTCACCAAATGGATGTTACAACAGCATTCCTAAATAATGAGTTAGATGAACAGGTGTATACAGAACAACCTGAAAGATTTATATTTCTTGGTCAAGAAAGGAAAGTATGTAAGCTTGTAAAGTCCTTGTATGGATTAAAACAAGCACCTAAACAATGACATCAAAAGTTTGATGAAGTTGTGCTAGCTAATGGTTACAAAATCAATCAATTTGACAAATGTCTCTATAGTAAGTTCCATAATAGTAGAGGTGTCATCATTTGTTTATATGTAGATGACATGTTAATCTTTGGTACTGATTTAGAACAAGTGGAGAACATAAAAAGGTTCTTGTCATAAAATTTTGACATGAATTATATGGGTGTGGTGGATATTATTCTTGGTATAAGAATAACGAAAGACTACAATCGCTTAACATTGTTTCAATCTCATTACATTGAAAAGATTGTAATGAAATCTAGTAAATCAGATTGTACGCCAATGTCTACACCTTATGATTCTAATCCAAAGCTTATACTTAACAAAGACAAGCCAATAGCACAAAATAAATATGCAAAGGTGATTGGATGCCTAATGTATGTTATGGTTTGTACAAGGTCAGATATTGCTTTTGTGGTTGAGATGCTAAGTCGATTTACAAGTAATCCAAGTAAAGAACATTAACATGTTGTTCATAGAGTTCGAAGATACTTAAAGAGTACAAAGAATTGTGGCATTTGTTATTCAAGTGTTTCTTCAATTTTAGAAAGATATACAAATGATAGTTGGAACTCAAATAGAACGGATCATACTTCTATGACTAGTTGGATTTTTATAATTGGTGGGGTGACTATTTCTTGGGGTTCTGAGAAACAATCTTGTCAAATAGACTTCACTATAGCGACTGAATTTATAACTTTAGCATCTACCACCTAAGAAGTGGAATGGTTGAGAGATTTACTCTATGAAATTCTATTGTGGCCTAAACCAATGATACGAATCTTGATACATTGTGACGATGAAGCAACTGTATCAAAGGCATATAATCAAGCATACAATGGAAAGAGTCGATATATTAGACTTCAACATAGCATTGTAAGACAAAGAATTAGTGATGGTATAATCACTATAAGTTATGTGAGGTGTTGCAAAAATTTGGCAGATCTATTTACTAAAAGCCTAAAAAAGGACTTGGTAGTAAAGATGATCTCAAGCCTATCAACTAAATCTCCAATGGTGGGAGCTCACTTCAACACTTGTGGCTAACCTACAAGTCTTGGGTACTGACCATTCTACCACATGGATGATTGTAAGCACTAATTTATATTTTTCATCCCAAGGTGTATAATGCTTGGTTTCCGTGATATGTAAGGTAAGGTTGAACAAAAATTTTTAATAGACCCATAACATATATATGTTGAAGGACTATAATTACGGAGTACTTTCGATGGGAGCTACCTATGTGAGTAGAAGTATGGCCGCTTCTAGGAGCTAAAGGCTTGACTTTAACAACACTCATGAATGGATGCAAAACACAAGGCTATAAAACATGTTGGCAAAACCAGATACGAAGTGAGCAAGGAAGCTTGTGCGTATTTAGTGGCCCGACTAGTCAAATGAAGAATCGATGGTTTAATGCTTAGTCAAACACTTAATTTAGACTAGAACCAACCACACTCACTAATTAAAGGTTCAAATCTACGGGATGCCTTCATTTATACACAAGGTTCCCAAAGTTATTGGTATTTGAAAATTTTGAAAATGGTGGGGGATTGTTGGTGTATTTTAAAAATCAAAGGTTATGTCACATAATGAAAATCTTACCTCAAAGGTTATATCACATAAAGTGATATAGTGTAACTATTGGATTGTAAGCAGGTTTTTATGTAAATGGTTATCTCTTTTGGTAAAATGACATCCAGAAGTTATGAGACAAATTGAAAAAAATACCCTAGCTCAAAAGTTTAAATATGAAAAGTTACTATTTTAAATTATAACTCAAAGATTATATTTTATGAAATGAATAGTTATATTTTCATAAGATGATTATTAAAACAATACCTTTATCTAAGACCTATGTCTGGCAAAATGTAAAGATATCTTTTAGACAAAATGGTACCTTAATGAAACGATTGTGTCCTTGAAGAAGAGACACTAGCAAGCCTATATAAAGGGCTTGTTGCTAATCATTTTCACACATCAAATAAAAAACAAAACAAGAACAGAAAAATCAAGAGCAAGAAAAGTGTTGTGTTATATTACCATAAACACTGAAGTTCTTATCAATTATAAAAGCGTTAATTCTTTATAATCTACTTATTGCAGAAAGTAAGCTCTAAAGTTGAACAATTTTGCAAACCTTCAAATATATCTAATGGTTTACTCTTGTAAAGTGCAAGATGAAGTTAGACATCGACTTCATTGTATCCCTAAGGCTGTTTGCATTATTTTCCTTGACATACCGAGTGGTGAGGGCAAAATAAATCTTAAAGATAATATTTATTGAAAGGCTCGCATTAAAGTGAATTTTACCAATTCTTAAATTTCATCTAAATCCCATTTGCACCAATAATTTTAAGACTTATTTTTATCATATGATTTTAGTAAAAATTAGATGATGAGACCTTGTTAATTTTTTTATGAAAAAGAAAAAATCTTCCGATGTACGATAATTATTTAATTTTAATATAAGTTTTTATAAAAAAAAATCAAAATTCTACAGAAAAAGAAAAGAGTTACACCATTTAGGTGCGAACCCAATTGAACCAAATACTCAAATCCTACTCAAATCGATGTTCACCCTGCATCGAACATGCTAGAATAGAAAACCTGAAAACGATTCCCTGCTCAATCTTTAAAGAAAATAAAAAATCATGCAAAAAACACAAGGAAAAGAAAAGAATCAATTGCAAAGGTTAGGAAGTGGTTGCTGATTCTGTACCATCAAGGGTTGTAGGCCTTAATATTTTTCATTTTCTAGTACACCTACGACAAAGATTATTAGTATAACATTTTTATATCTTATATTACAATTAGCCTTTTCTGAACCCCAAAAATCCCCTATTCTCAGCCCATGTAGGAACAATGTATACGTTACTACTAATTTTCTTAGTAAAAATTCTGTATCACCATACAAGAAAAACACAATGGTGGAAGAGAATTGGTCAGCGTCGAGGCCAGTACCAGAGAAAGAATACGACCAAAAAGTTATATCCATGATTCATGAAAACCACCTCTTTTTACCACTAGCGGCTTTAAGCTGCATTACAAGTTGCTCCCGCTGGTCTTCTACCTCTGCATATTTGAGGCTCATTTGGAAATACCGTTCACGTAATTCTTTCAACTCCATCTCAAGCGCTGAGGAGGCCTTGCACTCGCACTCATCCTTTCTTGCAGCCCCTTCACCTATTGACTTCTCAGGGCTAGCTGAACGGAAGCTTACTTCCTTTGACAACAAACTGAACACGAGCAAAATATACAAAGATTGTTAGCATTCGTACAGAGGTTAAGAATCAGATGGCCTTATTTATTCTAAATATTCAGATCGGTGGTGCAATTTCTGTAAGAATGAGTGAAGGACAAAATCATGTATAAAACTATTCACTGAGCATATACCTTTACTTTGACAGCACATGGTTGTCAGGACACAAATATGGTAGCATGACGCAAACCATTAAAAAAATCTAAGAAATGGAACATGTAAAATTTGTAATTGGTAATTCCTTGTTAAATCGTAAACATTATATATCCTATTTCAGATGTTAGATTCAAGAAGACAAATAATTCAACATTGTCAATTAGGAAATCTACCACATTTACCCACCTCTTAAGTTGGTTCTTATACATGTCATTTGCCTCTAAAGCTTCTGCAAGTTCATTCTCAAGATTCTGAATCTTTGACAAAAGATCTACTCCTTTATCTTGAGAAGTTTCATTATTGCAGTTTTGACTCTTATCAATCTGAAAACAACAAGAGAAATATTATAAGGTGTTTAAGCAGTTTGTTTCTTCCCAGTCATACATAACCTCTACAAACAACTGATGGCCCAAGCTAAAAGATTATGATCACCTAGACTGGATTTAAAAAAAAAACATATACATTAACCTGTCTATGATTTTCCTCTAAATGATGTTGTACTTGGTCAATTCCAGTGAACAGCTTCTCACTTGATAGCAGGTTATTGTTCTCTTCTATGCTCTGCCATTTCAGAAGCAAAAATTACAAATCCTTAAAAAATCTTTAATGAAATCAAGTACATAATGAGAAACGAAATTCTTAACTCTAACTATCTGAGAGATTCAAATTATTATTGATAGAAGTATTAACTCTAACCGTCTGAGAGATTCAACTTATTATTGATAGAAGTACTTGTATACTTGGAATTAGGGTAAAAAAGAGACTCACATTCTTGGACTCGCGTTGACCCTGTTTAATCTGTTTCAGTTCATCTTCAAGACCTTGTGTTTTCTTCAGGCACTCTTCTTTCTCCTCCTCAAGGTACTTTATCTTCCTCTGGAATTGGCTATTTTCTCTTCTAATTTGGGCTAGCTCATTTTTCAGTGCAGCTTCCTGAGTTCCCATGGCTTCTCTTGCAGTTAAATCACCCTGCAGCCGTAAGACCTTTTCTTCAAGGGCAACTTTCCTACGTCTGCAATCCTCTAAGTCAGAAACAGCTTTCTGACTAATAGAGATTTTCTGAACAAAAAGGGTTCTTTCAACCTTAAGTTCTTCATAGTCTCTGGACAGCATTTGGAAAGAAGCTTCCAGCCTTTCATTTTCGAACTTTGTTTCACTTATTGATTTTTTAAGAGCTAAAATTTCATCCTGAAGGAGTGTTGTTTTCTGCAATTGGACTTTAAGGCTAGAGATTTCTTCTACTAACTGTTGATTCTCGTACTCAGAAGCTTTGAGTTTTAGTTCAAGCCCTCTAACGGTGCCTTTCAGTTTGTCTTCATTGGATTTGACATCTTCCAACAAATCTAATAGCTTTTCGTGGTCTGCCATCAATATTTCTTGTTTTTGCTTTGCAGCAGCTAGTTCTTCCTTAAGCCCTTGTAACTCAGTTTCACATTCCACCTGCATAGCATTGAGCTTGCTCTCAGATAATTTAAGTTTTCCTTGGGCAACTTGTAAAGCAGCTTCAAGCATTGCTTTATCTGCACGTAAATGAGAAACTTCAAGCACAGCTTCTGATGCTGTTTTCTCCTTTACATCCTGGGTTGCAGATATCTGTTCAGTGAGGTGTGTAACCTCTCTTTGGAGGTTATCAACTTCAACTGTCTTCTCCAAGTATCTCTGATTTAATAGGCTCTCCTCAAGAACAAGTTTCTCTTTCTGTTTCTTGTTCTCTTGAAGAAGTACTTCTAGTTCCAAATTAAGGGCTTTCTCTTTCGAGGCTATTTCTTCAAGCATCATGGAATACTTTTCTTCAAGAGCTTCAACTTCATTAACCATATTAGAAAAAACTTTTTCAGATTCCTTCAGTTCTGCTTCCAAGACTGCACAATGTTCATGTAACTCCATCTTTTGCTTCCGTAATTCTCCATTTGCTTTCTGAAGCATGCTACATTCTTCAATAAGACTTTCAGTAGTAGCTTGTAGTTTGGGATTCGCAATTTTCAGATACTCACACTCTTCTTGAACTTCTAACCACCGCTTTTGCATCTCTTCCATCTTCTGTCTCATATCAACTTTTTGTGCCTCCATTTCATTTTCCAATCTTTTAATCTCTTCTTTGAAATTCATTGCTTGAGATTCTGAATTTTGTAGTTCCAGACGATGAGACTCTCTCTCATCAGTCAGATACCTTAATTGTGCTTCCAAACCACATATCCGTTCTGATAACTGTACATTTTCTTCTTCTAATTCAGACAAATGAACTTCTAGTTCCTGCTTACCACTTTCAAGCTCTGAAGATTTCTGTACAAGAATCTTGTTGGCTGAAATCTGGGAATCCCTATTGCTATTAAGTACCACCATTTCACTTCGTAAACCTTCCAAGCATTTAGCAGTAACAGCACCTTCTCTGAGCATGATTTCTATATTTTCCTCCAACCGGCTTTTCTCATTCTGAACAGAAGAAACCTGAGCTTCTAACTCTTTTTGCTGATACCTTAAAGCCTCTAGCTCATCTTCCTTCAGCAAATTCTCGGATTTAAGCTTCTCTATCTCAGATATTTTTGTTGACAATTCCTTCCATAGACCACTATCTTCTTTGCATGGAGAATTTAATTCCTTTAATTCAAAACCCTCCAATTTATCCAGGATGTCATCAGTACTTACTGCTGAGTCTTTGGCCTCTTTATAATATTCGTCATCACTGACAGCACTTTTCTCTCTGAAGAATTGTTTTAGCTGGGCAAAATTGTTCAAGATAATCTCAACTTGCTGTTTTTGACTGACCAAATCTGTACTTTTCAAAATCTGTGAGTCATTGGAACCACAAATTCCATGAGGATTTGCATGTGACTTGAGAGTGTACTGTCGCTTTAAGTCAGCTAAAGAAAGTTGAATCGGTTCATCTAACTCAGCAAGCAATTTTGACATTTCAACAGCAGCAGTTGATTCAGAAATTTTGGATTCTGCAAAGGCATGAGCAGGTTGATCCTTACTCTCAATTTCTGCCTGCTGGTAATGCTCTAATTGTTGTTGCAGTGCCACAATTTCAATCTCATGTTCTTCTGCTCTGGCACGACATTCTGACAGTTCACCATCAAGATAAGAAGCTTTGTCCTTGAAAGCTTCCAACTGGAGCTCAAGGTCAGCACATCTATTTCCAAGAACTACAGATTGAAAATGCAAGTGATCAGCAGAATGTACTTCAGTAGGAGTTTTTTTATTCAGCTCACCTTCATAGTTGCAAGAGGTTACTTCTAATTTATGTCTAGAAGGAGAGTTCTTTCCTGGATGATCAGGTAAAAGAGAATTAGAGGTGGCACTATGATCTTTGCTAGATTCTTTAAGCTTGAAAAGAAGATCCAGATTTTCATCAGTAAGCTCATTGCAATCTCTCTCAAGTTCCTGCACCTTCAGTTTAAGAGCTTCAATTTCTTTGATTAGATTACTATTACCTTCTTTTTCAGAGCCCATATCCTTTAAAGCTTGACCATCAAGAGCTTCAGACAATTTCACTTCCAAATTAGTGATTTTTTCCTCTTTTTCAGCTAATTTGCCCCTCCATTCAGCCTCACAATCCATAAGAGATTGACTACTTAGACCTTGTTCAATCTCCATTTCATGGTTCTTTTCTTCCAGACTTTTCTCCAGAAACAGAATAGTGCTTTCCAAGTTCCTATGTGATTCCTGCAGCTGCAGAAAATGGAGCTCAAGATTCCTGTTCTCTGCATGCAAATCTTGTCTTTGGTGTTCAACAATACCACTTTCCCTATCAGAATCAGAAGATTTTCTGGCCTGGTTTGTTAAAACTTGCTTGCCAGCATTTAGTTGCCTACTATCTTCAAATTCAAAGTCATCCTTTCCTAATTCTTCAAATTCAGATTTTGTTCTGGAAAGGTTATTAATCTCTACTTTCTGTTTTTCTATGGTTTCTTCCAGCTCCTGAAGAATGGAAACAAGCTCAATATTTGATTCTTGAGTTTTTTTCAACTGTAAAGCTAAATTAGCATTCTCCTCACTCTGAAACTTTATCTCATCTTCCAACTCCTTTTGAACATTTTCAGTATGTTTGCTCTGAAACTTCAAATTTTCAGCAGCGCCCTGTTTCATCTGTGACTCCTCCAACAAGATCTTTACTCGTTCAACCTCCTGCTTCAAGCTATCACATTCTGCCTGTGATGTTGAAAGTGCCACCTCAAGACGTTTTTGGTGTTTTGACTGGTCAGATAATTCCTTCTGCAAATTTTCCAGATCAGTCATTAATTTTCGAGCATTTTGCTCCCACATCCTAGCTTCTGCCCGAAGCTCCCCAATTGTAATTTCTGCAGCTTCCAAGAAGTCTTTAGATGAACCAGCATTACGTAGTGGAGAAGAGGGAACAAGGCGTGAAACCCGATTCAAGTCTTCTCTGTGATTATGAGGATGGCATCCAGACATGGAGACCTTTGGAGTATAGGATGAGTGGTTTGACCTGGAAGAATCATTCAAAGAATAAGATCCTTGAGGAGAACTGGTTTGAGAACCAGTTGAATCTTGTCTTCCAATTAGACTGTTCATAATCCCATTTTGAGGGGAGTAATTTTCCCTGTTAAAGGAACCATCCAAGGAGTCAAAGCTATTGCGGGAGTCTGATGCAGAAAAACTTGGTTCCTGCACAAACATGAGAAGGTTTCATCAGCCCCATGACAAAACAGCGCACAGGCAGTTAACTGAAAATGCTTCAGTTTCCTTGAAAGTCTACAGCAGACAAAGGTCCTCATGCAACTCTTTGTGCACGACATGGCTACTGTTGTGTTTTTATTTCTTGTCTAGTTTTAGGTATATTAACTACATTTTTATAAGTTTGGGTTGACACCATAGAAGCACTGGATATGCAATGTTAAGACTAAATTTAATACTATGTTTTACCATGCAATCTAGATAAATGTGTAGAAAGACGTGAGACTTCTGTGCCATGTAGGTCAAGTGTTCATAAAGTTCTTAAACAATGAACATGCTGTCCACGTAAAGACATCAACAAGAAAAGAAGCCTGGTCCTCAGAGTTAAATGAACCAAGTGTCATGTTATCTGGAATTATCTATAAGTCATCATAACACAATGCACAGGATATATACGAACAGTAACGCATGTTATTCATATTACATAAAATTAGCAGTGTTAAAAGACGAAACACAACTGCAGAAAGGAAAGTTGATCAAAAAATGTCTTTAACATATTTCCAAAACAACTACGTTTGAGATCAAGGGAACATACCCTACTAGAAATTTCTCCAGGATGAATGGTACCCTCTAAATGGTTACTAGATGAAGATCCAACACTCCTGGTAAATGTACTATCAGAAACATCTGATTTGTTTTCCAATTCATCATACTCCAGACTCCCATCCTCCATATACGAATCTGTATGATTCCATTGCTCATCCCTTTCAAAGATGCAGTAACTTTTTTCACAATCATATAAAAACTGAATGTCAAACAATTTAAGGTTTCATGAGTGATGGCAAACCTGAGTTTTTCTCTTGGTGTCAAGCACTGAATTTTAACCTGCAGACAACCATGTGGAAGCAGATGTTAACAACTACATCAAAGAAAGGTGAAAATTTGAGTTTCTAGTCCAAATCAAAAACATGTGATTTAGAGAGAAAATAAATCAATAAATTGTCTCGCAAAAAGGAGTGCATCGACCCGCAACCATGTCTCAGGTATCAAAATTTCAAAGGCTAATGCACTGTCAAAAAAATTATTTGAATAAGCTTAAGGGAAGATTGGATCAATTTCTATGTATTAATACCCCCATAAAAGTAACTCAAATTTATGCTATAACTAATTTTCTCTCCATGGATAAATTTCACTTTGAGAAGCATTGATGATGTGTATTTTTCACAACCCTTTCATTAGATGTTAGTACGGAGTGGTAAGGTATCTAACATTTAGGTTCTAAAAGTCCAATTTGGCAATGAAAGCAACATACAATGGCAGAAAGCAATTCCAAAGCATAAACTAGTTTATCTTGTTCCATCTATTTAAAAGAAAAAACATATTTTTAAAATTACGAAAATATGTTTTCAAAACTCTTATGTATCAGCAAAAAAGTATAAATATTAGGCACGTAAAACAGGAATCATCTTTAGATCTCACCTGTAATACTGTCCCGTGGTTACATTTCTTCAACGGCAATGAAAGAGGAATAGTACTTTTTGAACGTATGTAGCTTGCAAGGTTAATTGTTGCCTCTCCAAGGAAGCCAGATCTAGATGATCCCTACAATAATATCAGTTTAAGTTGATTATTTTTAACCGCGGCATAAACCAAGTCCACAAAAACAGATAAAGCCTCACACAAGATAAAGGCAAAGCTCATACCATGGCAACGACAAGCTTAAATAAGCATTCATCTATCACTTTTGAATTATCACCTCGTACAATCCAAATAGACTCCAAAAAGGCCTCCGTCCATCGACAATTTCCATTCCGGACTGATGCTTTGCTTGACTTGGTTATGGTTTTGCCAGTATCCACAGAAATGATTGACAAAAAAAGCTTGTCCCATCCTTTTGGAACCTTCAAGAATTCAATTATCCAAAATTGTATCAAGAATCACCAAAGCAAAACCAACAACATAACTAGACAAGACAAGCCCTAAAATATTAAAAATTTTAAAAGAAAAAAAAAAAAAGACAAGCACAACATAACATAAAACTAATATCTAATACTGTTTATATAAAAAAAAATATCCATTAAATAGTTACTTTTGCTGCATGCTTTATGCTCTTGGCTTATTGATTCCTCAAAAAATTTTAAAACCTAAGTAGAAAAAGGAAATATAGATCTATTTTTACTAAACTAAGCACGTAACTAAAATCTAAAACAAATTTAAACCTCACTATTTCATATAAAAATAAAATCATGTATTTAGATATTCAAAAAATTAAATTTTAATTATTTTAATTATTTAAAACAACTACTTGTTTTTGCATCAAAAGGCATTATAACTTTTTTGCTTACATAGATAAATCCATAAGTTGAAACTTTTACTAATAAATTGAAAATTTTTCTCACATTTTATCTTTTTATAGGAACCGTCGACATTAAATCACCATTTCTTTCGTATAAAATTTTAGAATATTCCCAAGAATTACGCAACAAATTCTGTGATTATTTCAACTCACTATCTTCTGGTTCATCATTACGTAGCATTTGACTAGCTCAACTTTCCAGTCCAACTCGGAAAAAATAAATTAGTGCAAAAAATGAAAAGACTACACAAATCGAAACTGAAACGTCAACCGATCTGACTAGAAAGAAAATCTAAGTTAAACGTTTAACCGTTCTTGCCAAAATGCCAATCAAAGATCTTCATATATGGAAAGTAAAATTATATTATGTAACAAATACCAGCTATCAGTTAGAAAAAAAAAAAAAACTTTCCACAAACTAAAAAATATATAATAATAAAAAAGCACCGGCCAACCTCGCCATTTCAGCCATGATAAAATAATCAATTTGCTGCGAATTGACAGTGAAAATATGATTAAAGAAGGAAATTAAAGGAAAAATCAACGGAAAGTGAAATGGAAAAAGAAGAGGTTGAATTTTGGCAATGTAACAGCGGATTCAATTTCAACATTTCAATGAAGTAATGAAAATACGAAAATATTAGACAAAAAACAGAGAGAAAGAGAGACCTGAAGAGCTTGGAAGCTGGAGAACTTGAAATCGAATCTCTCTCCAGATTTATCAGACTTTTGCTTATGTAATCTGAACATTTATCTTTTTCTTTGCTCAGATTTTCTTTTTCTGTTTCAGTTTATTAATGGAAATTTTTTCTTTTCTTTTTTTGGCGTTGAAGAAACTTTAGCCAAAAATAAAAACAGTTTCAGTATTCACATGGTCTCTCAAAGAAGAAAGAGTGTGTACTTAAAAGAGAAAATCATAAGGAAGGGGAGAGAAATAGAGAGAGAGACAGAGAGAGAAACAGAAGGACAGAGCGCGTTAGCTGTTATTTTGTTTTGAAGTTTGTTGAATGTTCCTTTTGGAGCTTTTTTTGTTTATTTTAAATTTTTCTTTGTCTTTTCAATGCTAACCTTTTTCTATGCTTTATTCATGAATTCATCCCTTTAACTTCTACAATTTAGATAAATACCCTTTGTCTTTTAAATTTCATTTTATTACTATTATTTTTCATAGCTTACCTTTTCCTTTTTAAAATTTTTTTTTAAAAAAAGCACCTGTATAACAAAGTAAATAGTTTTTTTTAATATTACCCAAAATAAATCTTTTAAATAATCAAAACTTCATAAATGGAAAATAGTTATCCTTAAATATATGTATTTTATATTTTAATCAAATAATCATTTTTAATCAAATATATATATGATTTTAGTCTTCGGTAATTTTCGAAAAAACAAATAGTAATAAAATGGAGAATTACCTAGTGGATTGAATCAAGATTATAATATCTTATTTGAACCTATAAAATTTTATATATTTATTAATTTAAAAATTATCATCCATATTATTTTTCATAGAATATCAGGTAATGAGATTGGGAGGGACTAGTTAGAAATAAGAATAACATTTGTCTTATCGTTTTTTAAAAAAATAGAAAATGTTAATCAGTGTTTAGTGACAGTAATTACAGTGATATTTAATAAAAAAAATTTGTTAACGCATTGTTCCTCTTAAATTTGGTTAAACTAATGTATTAAATGTAAAAATAATTAAATAATATTTTAACTATCCTTAATTAGTATTTATAAATAGTTGTTAATCAGACTGTTTTTTAATTTCACTTAGAAAAGAGGTTTTCTTTTTCTTTTTTTTTGTATGCATTAAATTGAACTATTTAGTCCATAAAAGAGGAGTCAAACCTAATATCTGAGAAAATCTCGACTTTGAATTAAGATAGCTAAATCAGGAAAGAATCTTCTCTGCCATTTATAAATAATTGGGATATCTACTGCTTTTATTATATATTAAAACATGTGTCTAATTTAATTATCTAAGATCACAATTTATTCATATTATTTGCCTCTTTTTAGTTAATTTTTATTTATTTTCTACTCAATTTAAAAATCATTTAAATTTTATAGAAATGACTTTGATATATTTCATATTCAAATTTAAATATATCAAATGATGTTATATGATATTTAACACCAAAAAAGTAAGAACAAAATCATAAAAATAACTTTAAAATATAAAAAAATGTGAAAATAAAAAGTAGTGATGAAAATCCTAGACCCTAAACCTTATATTGAAAGCTTGAAAACAAGAAATAGGGATGGGAAAACAACAAAAATAGAAGACAATGGTGGGCTTAACCTAATAAACCAATACCCCACTAGGGGATACTGTCTTCATTATTAAGAACAAAAATACTTGCCATTGAGAGAATGAGTTGATTAAATGAAATTGTGAAAAAAGTATAGAGACAGTGACATGAGTAACATAAACATGCAGTTTTCTTTATTTATTATTTAAAATCTGAAAAGTTTCAATAGGTAGGTATAAAAGAAAGACCCACCTCCCCTCTTTGATTTTACTGACAATTTCAGGGCAACAACCCCATGTGGAGGGGTCAACAACCTGTTAAAGCAAGGTGGCCTTTTTTTATTAACTTTGTTAAGTAGGATAACATTGAGACTGTCATTGGTTACTAAAGGAACTGAAAATGGAATTTTAGCTTCTAATAATGGGGATCATTTTTATTTAATTCAATATTTCAACCTATAACCTTTTGCTTTGGTTCCATTATTTTACAGCTGTTTATTGACTTGCTTTGGCCACAATGCAATATGATTTTTGATGTTCCAACTTCCAAGCTACCTTTTTTTTTCCTTTTTTGAAATATTTTAAAATATTTTTTAATTCAATGCATTTGTCATGGTTGAAATTTGATTTTCTTTTTGAGTATTTACGTTTAATCTTTCTGTATTATTGAGAACTGTGAATTTTTTTTGTGAGATTGTATTCACACAATTCTTTCTAAAAGATTTTGTTTAAATAATAATTGTGTGCATCGAATATGTTGTTCAATGATAATTATTTTAATTTTCACTTCAAGGGTTAAATTTGAATTTTTATTTCCCTCGAATTTAAAAAACAAAACTATTGTTGCTATCAAAGTGAAGAATGATAGGATTTAAGTGAAAAATATTCAAATTTATTTTTTTAATTTTAAAAATGTGTTAAATCAAATATAGTTACTAACATTGTGAGAGAGTACGTTATACGTGCTAATGTGGAATTAACATCTTAATTTTTATTGACTTAGTATTAATGTAAATTTTATAAATATTTTTTTAGATGATATAACCTTTTAAATAAAAATTAAAAATCTTAATAAAAAACTCACATTCGAACATTTTGCTCATTGATTAGTATTTAACCCTCTATTTAAAAGAGTGGAGTTCAAATCTCCTTCCACAAATCCTAAATCTTCTTCTTAAAAAATTATAAATTCAAGGTAAAATTTGCAGCAGGTCAACATAATTTCAAAAAACCATATAAAAAGTTATAATATTTGATCTTAAAAAAAAAAAGAAAATCAAAAAGAGAGAAAAAAAACCCTAGTTGTTCGTCTCTCGCAGCTCTCGCCCCAAAACCCTTCCACCACTAAATCATCTCTGAGGCAACTAGCAAGTTGCAAACACATCAAGTACGTACATCAAATTATCATCTTGATCAATGGAAGTTGCAATATTGTATTCTATTTTGATTATAGCTAACACTGTTGATGGAAGTACTTTATGGTTTGAGTTTTCACCCTTCCCCTTTGGCCAAGCCTAAACAAAATACTTAAGAGGAAAAAAATAATAATCTCATTAGATAAAAACTATTTTACAAAACTCATAAATACAATCAGAACGTAGTAATTGTTAAGCGCAAAATTATGGTTGGAGTTCGTTTGTTTAGTGTTTAGTGTTTATTATTGTTGAAGATTTTTTTTTGCCTAATTTATTATAAATTTTAAGTGTTATGACAACTAACTATCAATGTGTTTATAGAGATATGATCGAATTTTGTTCAAGGAGACTTCATACACGTGAAGAACTAAAGTCAAGAACTTTTGCTTGTCAAAAGGGGTATGCAACATCAATAAAAGACTCGAGAAACGATAGGTACGTGACTATTGGCTGTGACAGAGAAGGAATTTATCGAGATAGACAGAATTCCTAGAGAAAAAAAACAAAGAGCCTCATGCACACACCTTATTAATTGTCCTTTTGCTCTTCATGGAAGAGACAAAGTGATGGGTTTTGGGTACTCCATTTGAAAAATGCTTCTCATAATCATGAGCCTTATAGTAATATGTCTGCCCACCCTTCTTATGGTCGCTTGAAATGGGAAAAAGATTGTAGATATTGAGAAACTGAGTACGCATAAATATTTTCTTTATTTCAACAAAAAAAAATTCTAACATTTTAGTAGTGTCTAGAACCATATACAATATGAACCCAAAACGATTATGTGTATGTTATATGAAAAATTAAATTTAGGTTTAATCCTTGGTATGAATTTTTCACAATTATAAAACTGTCCAACTGCCTACAATAACATTTCAGTCAAACAAGTAATTGTGCCTTGGATTTATAGTTTTTTGCTTTGTAGTTATGCTCTCCCTAAAAAATTGAGGACCTCGGTGTAAGATCGATGAATAAATTATCATTAAATGAAATATTTACAACTGCATGGCTGAATACAAGAACAAATCCACATGCGTTTTGGCGTTTCAATAATTCAATACGTTGCTAGATTATGAGGTGAGAGGTCGGCTAGATTCACCTTGACGGTTGAGAAAAAGCGCACTTCCTCTATGTAAAAGACACGTGTATACCCTTGATTGAAAATCTGGAGATCTCGACGTGGCCAATGGACAAAACCCACGAGGATTGAAGCAAGTAGCTGAGTTTTTGTATGCAACAGGGGGTAATTAAGTTTTTCCTTTTAGCTCACGTGTAAGTTTCATAACTGGGATTTAAACAAGGGAAGAAATGAGAGTAAACCTATGCAATTTTTTCTTTCTTTTTTAATTTTTTGTTGTTGAAAAGTTTGAGTAATTTCATATTAAATTTTGGAATGACTTGGATAATAGTATTTACTTAAGTTTCTTGTCTATTTCTCTCCAAAGAAAGAAAAAAAAAGAACAAAAATTGGTTCTTAATCATCATAAAATTTTTGTATTTTTGAAAAAATAAAATAAGAAAAAAAATTATAAGTAAAATAACAAAAATATATATTAATATACGAAATTAATCTGAAGTTATTGAAGGATAATAAAAATATGCAGTAGTTTTGTAACAATAAACCTATAAGAATTAATGAAATATTAAATTATGCTATTTTATTTTTTTATGTATGACTACTCAATAAGTTTTACCAATTCATTAGTTTTGAATTATTCAACCGTTCAAACGATTAAATTTTACGAAATTCATCAAAATTGGGCCATCTAAATTTTAACCATTTTTAAATTTTACTATCAAGTAATATTATGAATTTAATATTTATTAATATAGTTCATTTTACAAAATAAATACAACTTTAATAACTTAGACCCTTCTAAAAGCCCAGTTAGCAGTACTTATTTATGCTATCCCTTACTTGGTTCCTTTTAAGGTCCATAATCATCTAATGATCTCAATAGATTGATATCTCAACAGGGTAGTGGAAATTAATTCATTTATATATTTTTTGTAATTGAAAACTAAATGAAACTTGAAAGTGAGATGACAGTGACTATGAATCATTTGTTATATTCCTTCATGTCATGACTTTTTCCATACATACCTTTTAAATTCTTCTTTTGAATTGAAGCATGCATTCAACTGTCTGATTTCAAATATTCCACGAAATAAAGGTTTGAGTTCGTATTCCTGGTTCAGTACCCTTTTTCCTTTCTAACAAGGGTAAATCAATTATCTCAAGAAGGGAGTATAGCTAGGGGCGAATTAAATAAGATGATCTAATTGAATCGAATGCGGTTTAAGTAAAATGATTCAATTTAATTGATTTATTAAATTTGTTGGTTCAAAAAGTTTGATTCAATTATTTTGTTTTGTGGGTTCTTGATTTTAAAACTTTTAGACTGAACTAATTAAAAGATTTAATTTTTTTTTTGGATTTAAAGGAAGGGGGATTCAAATAAGTAGAGAGATTATATACTAACCAATAAGTTAAATTCTCGGATGCAACCAAACTAATATTTTATAAATATTATTTTTGAATTTATATAAAAAATATATTTTTATTATTAATTTTAATTTTATATTTTTAAACTATGGATGAACTTTATAAGTTTTAATATTAGATTTGCCTAAAGAATTTACAAACTGAAGTTTGAAAGATTCAAAGTCTCAAGAAGATTGAAGATCAAATGACAGATTCAGAGGCCGGTAAGAAGGAGAAAGTGTCTTGTGCATGTCATCTGACTATTTATTATAAATAGTTACTTTTTACTTTTTACTATTTTTTACTGTATAGTAATTATTCAGTTAGTCAGTAGTTAAGAGTGTTGACTTTACTCTTTACTTTTAACATATTGATATCTTGAAATCTTTTTTTTTTGGTTCTAATGAAGAATGAAGCATTTTTCTTCTTCCTCAATATTCTTTTATTTTCCTTAATCCGTGAACAAGCTCACTCAATTTTAACATGGTATTAGAGCGAGTGACCTTGTAGTGATAATTGCTACAGATTTAGGTAAGTATCTTGATCTTCTTGCTTTTTGGATCGGTGTTGATTTGTTTCTATCTTCTACTTTAAGGGATTGTAGAAAATTTTATTTGTTAATATCTTGATTTGGGGATTTCTTGTTTTTTTTATTTAAAAGTTTCTTGTTTTTGGAAATTTGGTAACAATTACGAACATCAGAATAAATCCTTCTTCTTCATTTGAAGATTTGCCAATGGCAAATCAATTAAGCTCAAGGGCTAGTATTCCACCAATTTAGAATCCTTAATCATTATTTTATCTGTATCAAAGTGATCATCCTAGATCATTTGTAATAAACCCTAAACTGACAACAAATAATTACGCACCTTGGTGTAGATTGTTTTTACTTTCCTTTTTTGTTAGGAATAAGATTGGTTTTGTGAATGGTACTATACCTAAACCAAAGCCTATGTATCCTTTATTTGAGTCGTGGAATAAATATAATGACCTCATTGTAGCTTGGCTTTTGGACTTTGCAACTACACTTATAGCATTAATAATTTTCTATATAGATAATGCCATGAAAATTTGGCATACATTGAAATAGAACTTTGTACAACCAGATGACACTAGGGTATGTAATTTACTATACACTGTAGGTAATGTAACACAAGGGACTAGGTCTATGGTACCCTTGCCTTTAGATTGTCATGCTATAGGCTATAATTGGGTATACAAAGTGAAAAAAAAAAAGCTGATGGCAGCGTGGAAAGATATAAAGCATGCTTAGTAGTAAAAGGTTACAACCAAATTGAAGGCTTTGATTATCAGAAAATGTTTAGCCCTATTGCTAAACAAATTACAGTTGAGTTTTTCTAGCTATAGCAATAGTACAAAGATGGTGTTTAAGGAACAATGCAATTTTTCATGGTGATCTTCAAGAAGAAGTTTATATGGAGATACCGCCTAGTTATTCAATTCAGGGGGAGTATTCATCTAATACAAAGCTAGTTTGCAAGTTGCATAAGTCCTTATATGGACTTAAACAAGCTTGTAGGCAGTGGAATGCAAAATTTACTACTTGTCTTATCAAGTATGGTTTTGGATATGCTTGAAGAATGTGGTTTATCAAGTGCTAAACCAAAGTCAACTCTTATGGATTATAATTACAAATTGTAGAAATCAACTGAGGATAACAAATTGAAAGATCCTATTATGTATAAACAACTGTTGGGAAGTTATTGTATTTGACCTTCACAAGCCAAGACATTTATTATGTTGTTCGAGTGTTATCTCAGTTTAAACAAAATGGATATTAGATATACTTGGAGAATATTTGTACTGAAGCTGAAAGATTGAAAGCCTCAAGAAGATTGAAGATCAAATGACAAACTCAAAGGCTGCTAACAAGGAGAAAGTGTCATGTGCATGTCATATGACTATTTATTGTAAATAGTTACTTTTTACTTTCTACCTTTTTTTTTACTGTATAGTAATTATTTAGTTAGTAATTAGGAGTGTTGACTTTACTCTTTTCTTTTAATAAATGGATATAAATAGTCTGCTTGTAATCTTTTTTCTGATTTTAAGGAAGAATGCAGTTTTTTCTTCCGCCTCAATATTCTTTCATTTTTATTGATATGTGAATAAACTCATTCGATTTTAACATTTAATATTATAATTTGTAAAAAAAAAGAATAAAATTTGATCTTTTGGTCCAAAATTGAACTACATAAATCAATTCGATATTTGATCGGTTTGATCTTCTTTTACGTTTAGTCGATTTTGATCGATTTTTTAAAAATATTTAATTTATTTATTCTTTAGGTATGACAGACTCAACCGATTAAATCGTCTAATTGCACATCCCTAAATATAGCATTTGAATGATAAAAAATTATTATTACTATTTTTTTTAACACTTAAATTGATTATCTTTCAATCTAAATCAAAACCCTTCCCTTGTACGACTGAGACAGATTCCAGATGGTTTTTTTTTTTTGGTATAGTTTCTCCAATACCATCTGTACGTCAAATTCCAAATGTTTTCCCTATTCTAGCTGGGAGGCATAAGACGCTTGCGGCCAAGTCTTGGGAGTCATCGACTGCACGTGCACTACATTCTGAACTTGTTTACAATTAATCAGGGTCTAAGCTCGTAATTTCCTTTAACAATTTATGAATGTAATTCATTATCCAATTTTCAGTTATATGAAATTTGACAATCACGAAAACATAAATTATCTCCATATTACAAAGTCCTTGAAAAATGTGGTGTTTGTGAAAATTCAAGTCATATGCTGCTGGATTTAATGCTTCTCCTCATGAGGTGATACTACATCATCTGCACTCACTGATTTTTTTATCAAATATATCCCTCTTATAACATGTTATGATTTATTAGAATTCTGGTAGATGAAAGCTGTGAAGAAGCTTATCAATGGAACATGAAGAAGAAGACGAAGAGAGGGGCTTTGAGATAGGCCGGTGACAATTCAAATGATGCTTTCCCGAAACTGCACCAGCCAAAATTAGGCACATGGTACATGGTCTTATTCGCAGATAAATGAAAAAGGACAATAATTTAGGCAGCAAAATTAATAAAATTGCTGATGGATTGAATAGATTTAGACATTAAAGTAACAATTTGTTCAATAACTTTCTTAATGTTGGCACTAAACCATTTTCTTTTGGGTGGAAGGAAATTAAGCAACCTCTTCCTTCATCTCGGCCTTGATAGCTGCAGCCAACTGATCATAAGCTTCACCCCAGGCACTGCTCATCTCATCACTGCATTTCTCTTCTCCAATTGCCTCTTTAATTGTTCTCAAAAGTGCCTCTTTCACCACCTGAAAACGGTGAATTGAAAATAGCAAATTGATTACATTTATGGAATATTCAACCAACAGAACACATCTATATATGCAAATCTAATGTGAATTGCTAAAACGTACCTCAAAATGGGGACCAATGACGCCATTCTTGAGATGAACAGAGCCTAGATACTTGAGAGTTGTATCAGCCACCACCACCTCCCCCTTCTCTCTAAGTTGAATGGCTGCCTCGCATGTCTTATTTGGAGGATAACATGAAATTAAGTATGTCAAACACATTAGATAATGTACCAATACGACAAATTGTTTATCCATTTAGGTCAATATTCTTATACCAATACTAGCAGGTCTGTTATATTTTTCCTTTTACTTGTCCATTGAGCTGAATTAGCTTTCAGTTGTCAATTTAATGTCAAAATGCTTAAATCAATAATTAGTATGAAGAAGACAAATTTGGAAATGGCAAACAGGGCTCACCATCTTGAAAACCTTGACAGCATGAGCCTTGAGCTTGGGATTATTCTGCGGTATCTCCTCTGAGTCTCTCAGAAAAGAAAACATCCTCTTTGCAGCCGGTGCAATCTCTAAAATTCTACAAAACAAATAGTATTACACAAACTAAACATTTCTGCAAAGCACCAAACAGTTTCTCTCAGAGAAATGATTAAGAATAAATAAATTTAGTTATACTTTACTTACAGTGTAAAGAAACGCAAGCTCATCTCGGGAATGTTTGGCTTCAAAAGCTCCCATGATTCCTTCACCAACGCTTCTTGCTTCTCAGTGAAAGCCATCTCTCTCCCAATACCAAATAATTCTTTCCCTTTTGTTTCTTAAAGATAATGAGGGAGTGGAGCTCTCTATGTGTATATATATAGCTACCTAGACCTGTATCTACCTAGCGCAGTGTCTCTTAGACGCAAGGTAATATATATTAATTGACATAGCTGTGAAAAAAAAGAGTGGTGGTGGATATTTACATGAGAATTAAATTTTATATTAGCAATTAATGCCGAATTCAGATATGACTTCATTTGCTATTAATAATATCCACATACAGCTCAGCTTTTATTTGTCTTTGTTTGGATATCTTAGACGTGCCTAGATAAATATGAAAGATCATCTGTCCAAATAGTTGGCTACCGTCCGAATATCTCACTGATTTTTTGCTTGAATATATTCATTTATTTATTTATTTAACATATACACATCAATGATTCATGATGTTGGAGTGGTTACGGTGTGCCACTTAACCCGTTGAGAGAAAAACATGTAGCAACTTTATTTGACGGTCTTTTGAAGATATATTTGAGCCAATGATACTCCACCATTCAAGGCATAAACCATGACTTATTATTAAAGAATGGTACAATATATATCAGGTACAATTTTTTTATTCTTTTCAAATTCGAGGAAGAGAAACTTTGAATCAACTTATTTTAGTAGAGAAATATATATATCAAATGCATGTATAAATTTGTGAAATAACAGGTTTGGGGCTTAGACCGTTTCAAATCTTGGGCTTCTTCGTTGGGCAAAAATTGTGGCAATATATAGTCTTGGATAGTTGGATTTGCATTTGAATTGGGTTTGAGTTTTAAGCCTTCTTCTATTTTTCTGTTGATTTGGATCTTCAACTTGGACCACCCACCTTAATTTAGAAAAGAAATATATATATATATATATATATTGAAATTCAAGCAAAAATTTGATCCTAGTGTAATGAGAGATCTTGTTTCAATGGTAAGGTGGAACTGTGGAAATATTAAACTTGTTAGATGTCAAGTTAAAGTTTAACCTTGTGGGAGTTTGGTCCTGCATTATATATATGTATAAAATTTGTTTAGTTAATTCATTAATTATACTTATTTTGGATGTAATAATTATATCATAAATGTTGAAGAATTTTTGGAATAAGATTACAATATTTACTCATGAATGCAACTCTTGGTCAAATGGTCTTATGTCTACTAATTGTTAGGGGTATTATAGTAGTCACTAGTCTAGTTGCTAGGCTGACATAACTTCTTTGATTTCTACTTTACCATCAAATAATGAAGACAACGTTTGAAAATCTTTCAATATCACATTGAATAAAATTATGACAATTATATGTGGATGACACTTACATCATCTCTAATTAAGATCCCAAAACCATTATTATAACAAGATCGGACTATACAAAAAACATTATAACCAAGTTTACCTGTCTCAAAGTTGTTCTATGATTGAGAATACTGTAATGCTCATGAGGATTAAGAGGCGACATCATCAGAATCTTGAAACTAACGGTACCTTAATAATGAGTAGATAAATATGTAAATAACTAACGCTTTTTGTTAGATTTTTTTATTGATACAGGAGTATATTATTAAATTATTATTATTTAAGAATTATAGCTATGGTAGAATTTTTCTTTTTATTTAATTTACTTGTATTAGGACTTTACGCTAATTATGTTCTATTTAGGAATAGAACACGTATTTTATTTAAATTTCTTATTAACAAATTAGACAACATGAAATAGAATTTTATTAGGATATAGGCGTATGATACTATAAGTAAGACCCTTAAGCTTAGTTATGAGACATTCAAGTTGAGAGTTAATAAAGAATATTTTCTTAAGCAAAATTGCTTATTTCTTTAAGCTCTTTTCAAAAAAGTAAGAAGTTTTTAGTATCTTTAGCTTAGCCAACCAAAGTGGAATTTTGGCTATTTTTTACGTTAGTGGGATTTTCAACTTTGGCAAGATTGGTGACTCACTTTAGTGGGGGTTTCAACCTTGCCAAGATTGATGTCGTTTACAATGCCCAAATATCTTTACAATCCCCAAATGTCTTTACAATGCCCTAAAGTCAATTTGGTATCAGAACGGGAGGATCATTTTTCGTTGCATAATTCAAGCTCGTTGTTAGGTTTCAACTCTCCTTTTTCGGGTAATTCTGTTTCATTTATTATTTTATAGTTATATCATCATCTTCTTTTTCTATATCACCACATCGTCATTACCATACAATAAAATATTGCCAAGACGTCAAAATCCACGAGATTGAGATTGCAGAACTATGTTATCAAATTCAAGAATTATAAAAACTTGCAAGACATAATGCTCAAATTAGCAATAGTTGCTCTAGTGATGAAGAGAATGATACCAACCCTTTTCATCAAAATTTGTCCTATGATGAAAAAGTACTTATTTGTCGCCTGAAAATTGCTGTTACCAGAGACTGGGAAATCAAAGATGATATTCTTAAGTTTGAAGGAAGGCTTCACCTTAATGACTTCCTTGAGTGGCTCTACACAGTGGAAAGAGTTTTCGAGCTTAAAGATACTCCCAATGAAAAACGTGTGAAGCTTGTTGCAATTAAATTGAAGAAGCTTACCTCTATTTAGTAGGAAAATCTCAAACGACAATGAGAAAGAGAAATGCACAACAAGATCAGAACATGAGATAAGATGCATCGAGAACTCAAATGTAAGTTCCTTCCTCGAGCATTATTGACAAGAAAGTTTTATCAAACTTCATAACTTGAGGCAAAAAACTACGTCAATTGAAGAATATACAATGGAGTTCGAAACAACTTTACACAAAGTGTGATGTCCATGAACTTGAAAAACAAACTGTAGCTCGTTATCTTGGGGGTCTTAATGTTGAAATTATAGATGTTATTCATCTAAAACCATATTCGAACTTAAATGATGTTATCATCAATGGAAGAATATACAATGGAGTTCGAAACAACTTTACACAAAGTGCGATGTCCATGAACTTGAAAAACAAACTGTAGCTCGTTATCTTGGGGGTCTTAATGTTGAAATTATAGATGTTATTCATCTAAAACCATATTCGAACTTAAATGATGTTATCATATTATCATTAAAGGTTGAAAAATAATGATCACTAAAAACCCCAATGAGTTCATCTAGACAACAAGAATCTACCTCAAACCATGGAAGTCAAAGTTCAGTAACTGTTCCACGTCTAAAGGTAAGCTCTTTTAAAACTACAAACAGCAATGATAAATAAACTACTTTTACTCATGCTTTCAATGTCAACAAGAAGTGCTTCAAATGCCAAGGATTTAGGCATTTTGTTTCTGATTGGCTAAATCGAAGAATTATTTCCTCAGTAGAAGAAGAAGTTATAAATAACCTATCATGGAATAAATAGAGGATGAGCTAGAAATATTCAACAACGATGAGATAGAAGAAGTTTCTACCGACCATGGAGAAGCTCTTATCATTCGTTGCAATCTCAACACTGCCATGATAACTGAAGATGAAAGTTAGTTTCGTCACAACATATTTTATGCAAGGTGCACATCCTAAGGGAAGGTTTGCAATGTCGTTATTGATAGTGGAAGCTCTGATAATGGTATTGCCAATAAAATGGTAGAAAAGTTGAAACTTCCAATTGAAGTACATCCTCATCCTTACAAGCTACAATGGCTGAGAAAAGGAAACAAAGTTAAGGTAATAAAGAGTTGTTATGTTCAATTCTCTATTAGAAATAAGTATCAAGATAAAGTCTGGTGTGATGTTATCCTAATGGACACATGTCACCTGTTGTTAGGATGCCCATGGCAATATGATCGTCAAGCTAACCATGACAGATACAAAAATACTTATTTCTTCATTAAGGATAGAGTAAAAGTTATGTTGACTCCTTTAAAGCTAGAATACAGCTCAAAGAGACAAGAGGAAGATAAAGCACTTATCACTTTGTTTAACCTAAATAAAACTTATTGTGAGTCAAACCATTTATGTCTCTTATTAGTCTATAAGGAGAATGAAGTATCTTTACCCTTATCCAAAGATGGTCAAACAAAATTGGTCAACAAAGGTTTAGGAAACTTATTGAAAGCTTTATGGGCAAAAATATTTGGCAATGGGATCTTGTGTTAGCACAAGTAGAATTTTCTTACAATAATTTTGTGAGCTAAACCACTAGGAGATATCCATTTGAAGTACTGTATGAAAAACACCCTCTTAGTCCTTTGGACCTTCATGCGTTACCAATTACTCGTGAATTTAGCGCTGATGCTAAAGAATGTGCTAAGGAAATCAAAGAGCTTCATGAAGAAGTTGGAGAGAAGACTATTCGTCATACTAACAAATACCAAAGCAAGCCAACAAGCATAAAAAGTCAACTAGTTTTAAAAAAAGAGACTTAGTATGGATTTGCTTAAGAAAAAAAATGTTTTCCTAAGTCTTGTGCAAAATTATCTCCTTGAGCTGATGGGCCATTTCGAGTCTTGAAACGTATTAATGAGAATGCTTACAAGATCAAACTTCTTAGAGATTATGAAGTTTCTGCAACTTTTAATGTAGCTGATCTCTCTCCTTACTATGGAGAACATGAAAAAGACAAGGATCTTGAAGATAAATTTTCTCCTACTTAGAGAGAATGATACAAAAGTATATTATTAGATTATTATTATTTAGGAATTATAGGTATGATAGAATTCTTTTTTTTTTGTTTAATTTATTTGTATTATAACTTTACGCTAGTTATGTTCTATTTAGGAATAGAACACCTAGTTTATTTAAATTTCTTGTTAACTACTCTAGTTGTATTAGACAACATGAAGTAGAGTTTTATTAAGATGTGGGCCTATAATACTATAAATAGGACCTTTAGGTTTAGTTATGAGACATTCAAGTTAAGAGTTAATAAAGAATATTTTCTTAAGCAAGACTTCTTATTTCTCTAAGCTCTATTCAAAAGTGTAAGAGGTTTTTAGTATCTTTGATCTAGCCAACCAAAGTGAAATTTTATCTATTTTTTACTTTAATGAGGTTTTCAACCTTACCAAGATTGGT